CTTCTTCTTCTTCTTCTTCTTCTTCTTCTTCTTCTTCTTCTTCTTCTTCTTCTTCTTCTTCTTCTTCTTCTTCTTCTTCTTCTTCTTCTTCTTCTTCTTCTTCTTCTTCTTCTGCTTCTTCTTCTTCTGCTTCTTCTTATTATTTTTATTATTTTAATTATTATTATTATTATTCACCCCTCCACTTTTTTTAATCTTCTTATTTTTTTCTTTGTCTAAACTGATTGAATTCTTCTTTCTTACTTTCAGGATTCAACAAAAATGACACGACTCTGTACGTTGTTGTTCATCTGCTGCCTAATATCAGGTAAGAAGGCTGCATGTTTGCTTCCTTTCTGGCCTGTTACAAATTTCAGTTTCTGCAATAATGAAAGTGTATGTGTTTCATAAATTATTTAGCTTGTCATATGAGCCGAAACGTAGGAGTCAAGCCCCTTCAGTCGCCATATCAAAAAACAAAAAAACAAAACAAAAATGTTTTGACGCCATGTCCCTACCTTTCTGTCTCATGTACTTTCAATCGCTTCTGACACATACGGTCCTATTTTATTTGATAACACACTGTTCACTTCAAGACGTCCTCTGTCTCTCTTCCCCCCCCCCCCCCCCCAACATTCCCACTGTCACAGAATATTACACCAACAAACTACTTCCCCTAAACCCCACCTATTGTTTTACACAACGTGCTACAGGAAACTACTTCCCCTAAACCCCACCTATTGTTTTACGCAACGTGCTACAGGTTGTAGATCGCCAGTGCTTTCAAATGTTTTGTGAGTTAATTTCGTTCAGTTCGTCTTTACTATGCTTTTGATCTGTCCATGCTATCCTCAACATTTTACACAATCACATCCACATAAACATCCACATACTAACAGGCTGACTATTCAACGATTCGCTTTGGCACGTCAGTCAGCATTGCCATTGGATTAACAAGTCGTCGTCCAAGTTTCCAACTCAACTGCAAACGGGTCATGCCAAAATTGCTGGTTCCTGTGTCAAGCCAAAATTTCTGGTTCCTGTGTGTCATGCCAACATTGCTGGTTCGTGTGTGTCATGCCAAAATTGTTGGTTTATGTGTCATTCCCACATCGCTGGTTTCTGTGTGTCATGCCAAAATTGCTGGTTCCTGTGTGTCATGCCAAAATTGCTGGTTCCTGTATGGCTTGCCAAAATTGCTGGTTTCTGTGTGTCATGCCAAAATTGTTGGTTTATGTGTCATTCCCACATCGCTGGTTTCTGTGTGTCATGCCAAAATTGTTGGTTTATGTGTCATTCCCACATCGCTGGTTTCTGTGTGTCATGCCAAAATTGCTGGTACCTGTGTGTCATGCCAAAATTGCTGGTTCCTGTATGGCTTGCCAAAATTGCTGGTTTCTGTGTGTCATGCCAAAATTGTTGGTTTATGTGTCATTCCCACATCGCTGGTTTCTGTGTGTCATGCCAAAATTGCTGGTTCCTGTGTGTCATGCCAAAATTGCTGGTTCCTGTATGGCTTGCCAAAATTGCTGGTTTCTGTGTGTCATGCCAAAATTGTTGGTTTATGTGTCATTCCCACATCGCTGGTTTCTGTGTGTCATGCCAAAATTGCTGGTTCCTGTGTGTCATGCCAAAATTGCTGGTTCCTGTATGGCTTGCCAAAATTGCTGGTTTCTGTGTGTCATGCCAAAATTGTTGGTTTATGTGTCATTCCCACATCGCTGGTTTCTGTGTGTCATGCCAAAATTGTTGGTGTATGTGTCATTCCCACATCGCTGGTTTCTGTGTGTCATGCCAAAATTGCTGTTTTATGTGTCATGCCAAAATTGTTGGTTCCTGTGTGTCATGCTAAAATTGCTGGTTTCTGTGTGTCATGCCAAAATTGCTGGTTCCTGTGTGTCATGCCAAAATTGCTGGTTCCTGTGTGGCATGCCAAAATTGTTGGTTCCTGTGTGGCATGCCAAAATTGCTGGTTCCTGTATGGCTTGCCAAAATTGTTGGTTGTGTCATGCCACAATTGTTAGTTCCTGTGTGTCATGCCAAAATTGAAGTTTCCTGTGACAACGAATATAGTACGAAATGCCCCTCACTGTTCTATTTCAAACACTTATTTCTGGCAAAATTCAGAAACTCACACGGGTAAGAAATACGTAAGGCAATCGCTAGAGGAGCCAACATCAACAGTCGCAACCAAAATAGCAATTTTTCTTTGGTGGAAGGAGTCGATCATGATAAGCTAACCCTATACACGCAATATCACTACATAAGTCACTTCGTCAACATGACCGCAAACCAACCACAAGCCAGTTTCTGAAAATCATGATCAAACTGCTGCCAGCACAGATGAAAAACATTCCATTCGATTTACACTGCTCACAGTGGTGCACCAAGCACTAACTAAATAGCTTAGACACAGAAACAGTGGACTTTAGTCAGTATGTGAAAACTGCATTAGCAAATCATTGCCGAAAGGAAAACAAAACACGTCAAGGCTTTAATGGACAACAAGCCTACCCGCCACATTGAACCTGAAGTCATCGAATTAAAAAAATTAACATTCAGTAACCTGGAGGATTTACAAGTAACACAACCACGTTGCTTTTTTGTAATCATAATTTATACGCCGACAAAAAATACGCATCTACAAACTGCGTGAAGAAACAAGGTGAACAAGTAGAAACCCCCAAATGAAAGCATCAAAAGTAATGAATCAATTAACAAAATATGTGAAATCTGAAAGAGAATGCCAGCGCTTTGAAGTTGCCAGATTTAACATAAAAGTCACCACAACTTGGACAGAAACGTCACTGACAGACGGTCAACAAGTACACATAAATATCATCTAGAGCAGCGGTCCTCAGCCTGTGGGTCGCGACCCTTTTGGGGTCAAACGACCCATTCACAGGGGTCGCCTAATGCAATCAGAAAAGACATATTCACTGAACTTATGAAGTAGCAACGAAAATAATGTTATGGTTGGGAGGTCATCACAAGATGAGGAACTGTATTAAAGGGTCGCCGCATTAGGAAGGTTGAGAACCTTTGCCCTAGAGGGAAAATCAGTTAATAGAATCAAACATAATTACAAGACCAATAATTCCAAATGCTTAGCTGTATTAACTTCATGCTGCGTCATCTAAGTCTCAGCGTCTGCCTTTATCTTAAGAGTGGTGAAAACTATGCGGTGAAAACAGACGAGTCTGCAGACAAAACCAAGCTAATACCAAGAAATTAATTCAACGAACTGCTATTAAAAAACTTAATGAAGGGGAACAACTTCTACATACATAGAGGCACCGACTGAAACGTCTTTTGTTGTTTTGTATGTGAGCTTCCTGTGTGGGTTCCGGGGCCCTTTTATAGGGAAAAAAAAGAATAGACCCACTGCCTACCCAAAAGCATGTCGTAAGAGTCGACTAATTGTAAGCTTCCTTCAAAGTCGGAGTGCATCTGCCTGAGAGGCAAGGAACCAGCAGTCTGCATACAGATGAGTCAGATCTGTAAAACGAAAGCACACGCAACACTCAGGTTCAGGAACAGGACTGCAGTCCAAAAATGGATAAACAACAAAAACTTTCCTCTAGAGTTTACAACTGGTGAACGCGAAGAAGAAGAAGAAGTATGTCAGCGTTGCTGCCCTTCTCTGTTTCGTTAATCTTCATACGCAAAGTTCAATAAATCAATGAGTCAGTCAGTCAGCATGTCTTTTCAAGAACACTCCGCTCTTCCCCCGCACGTCTGAAAGTCTCTGTCTCCTGCCAGTTCTCCAGCCCTGTATGCTTTCATAGTCAATGCATCTTCAATGTCCTGTATCCACATTCGTTTTTCAGAAACCGCACCCTCCATGTTCTCTCCAGACCACCATGGCGCTCGTAGATGGTTTGTTAAGTTTCCTTTACAGGACGTTGCAGAACCAATCCTAACAGCCCCTGGCTGTTGTGTGGTTTTTCTAGGCAAATTTACGTCCAGTAGTTTGCCATTGCTTTCTGGGCGGTCGGTTTTCTTGATACCACTGTCGAAACCAACGCAAGGCGCATGGCCCGCAGCTGGGATCGAACCCGGCATCCCGGCATTACGAAGCGTTCGCATCGGCTTAGCCACAGAGCCTCCATGGGGCTTGAGATGTTCCAAATACCCCAGCTTTCGATAGAGGATGTTGTTTGTGAGCCAGTTATACGGTCACAGTTCAGTGGATTCATTTCCATATTTTTAGACTGGCTCAAGGGGCTGCGTGGTCTCGAGGCATGGTGTCGGGTTCAATCCCCGACAGGGGTTGGGATTTTTTCTCGTGGACTTGAACTTCAAGTAATTCCCCCTGGTCTCTGGGTAGTGAGATCGGGCGCCCGTGTGCATTGTGCGCACGTGAAAATTTTTTTTTGGCAGTTGGAAACTGCCCAGGCAAAATTTAGAGTTAAAAATCTACTCATAGTATTTCAGGATCCTCGCCGGTGCTACACAGCTTGTGCACTGTGTTGAGCTTCTTTGGACTCAGACTTGAGTTAGAAGAAGAACGAAGCACTTATGGGTTACTACCCGTGTGCATGATTTTGGCTTAGATTTCCTCCTGTGAGTTCTGGAACCTTTTTTTTTCTCCTCTTTCTTTCCTTTCATAAATTTGTTTGTCAACGTTGTCGTTATCGATTTTCCTCCCCAATCTCCTCCATACATTTCTCGTCCTTATCTCCTCATCCTCTTTCGCATACTTTTCACTTCACCTCTGCTCCCTATACTTCATCAACCATATCATCACACCCCCCCCCCCCCCCCCCCCAACCCCACTTTACCCATCCCTCATCAATTACTTCTACCTACTGCTTAATTTTTCTATTCTCCTATTTCTCCTCCCCTTTTCCTCCCTCAAACTTTTTTCCTATGCCTTCTTCTTTTCCTTCTCCTTCTGCACCTCTTCGTCCTCCTCCTGCCTCATCTTTTAACTTATTGTCGTTGTCGAAAAACCAATGCCATGTTGTTGCATGTCAACATCTACAAGTGAGATTCCATGTTTCTACACATGTCTCCAGCGGGCTATGCCGCTGATAAGTACTATCTGGATGAAAGTAGTCTCCGCAAGGATATCCTCAACGGATACGAGTACAAGATACGACCCTCAAAGACCGTCATTGTCAAGGCCAAACTCAGCTTGCTCAACATTAATGTGTTGGTTAGTTTCTTCTCTGTCTGTGTGGGATTACTGTCTTTCTGTCTGTGTGTGATTACTGCCTTTATGTCTGTGTGTGATTACTGCCTTTCTCTCTGTGTGTGATTACTGCCTTTCTGTCTGTGTGTGATTACTGCCTTTCTCTCTGTGTGTGATTACAGCCTCTCTGTCTGTGTGTGATTACTACCTTTCTGTCTGTGTGTGATTACAGCCTCTCTGTCTGGGTGTGATTACTGCCTTTCTCTCTGTGTGTGATTACAGCCTCTCTGTCTGTGTGTGATTACTGCCTTTATGTCTGTGTGTGATTACTACCTTTCTGTCTGTGTGTGATTACAGCCTCTCTGTCTGTGTGTGATTACTGTCTTTCTGTCTGTGTGTGATTACAGCCTCTCTGTCTGTGTGTTATTACTGCCTTTATGTCTGTGTGTGATTACTGCCTTTGTGTCTGTGTGTGATTACTGCCTTTCTGTCTGTGTGTGATTACTGCCTTTCTGTCTGTGTGTGATTACTGCCTTTCTGTCTGTGTGTGATTACTGCCTTTCTGTCTGTGTGTGATTACTGCCTTTCTGTCTGTGTGTGATTACTACCTTTCTGTCTGTGTGTGATTACAGCCTCTCTGTCTGTGTGTGATTACTGCCTTTCTGTCAGTGTGTGATTACAGCCTCTCTGTCTGTGTGTGATTACTGCCTTTATGTCTGTGTGTGATTACTGCCTTTATGTCTGTGTGTGATTACTGCCTTTCTGTCTGTGTGTGATTACTGTCTTTCTGTCTGTGTGTGATTACTACCTTTCTGTCTGTGTGTGATTACAGCCTCTCTGTCTGTGTGTGATTACTGCCTTTCTGTCTGTGTGTGATTACAGCCTCTCTGTCTGTGTGTGATTACTGCATTGATGTCTGTGTGTGATTACTGCCTTTCTGTCTGTGTGTGATTACTGCCTTTATGTCTGTGTGTGATTACTGCCTTTATGTCTGTGTGTGATTACTGCCTTTATGTCTGTGTGTGATTACTGCCTTTATGTCGGTGTGTGATTACTGCCTTTATGCCTGTGTGTGATTACTGCATTTATGTCTGTGTGTGATTACTGCCTTTATGTCTGTGTGTGATTACTGCCTTTATGTCTGTGTGTGATTACTGCCTTTATGTCTGTGTGTGATTACTGCCTTTATGTCTGTGTGGGATTACTGCCTTTCTGTCTGTGTGTGATTACTGCCTTTATGTCTGTGTGTGATTACTGTCTTTATGTCTGTGTGTGATTACAGCCTCTCTGTCTGTGTGTGATTACTGCCTTTATGTCTGTGTGTGATTACTGCCTTTCTGTCTGTGTGTGATTACTGCCTTTCTGTCTGTGTGTGATTACTGCCTTTCTGTCTGTGTGTGATTACTACCTTTCTGTCTGTGTGTGATTACAGCCTCTCTGTCTGTGTGTGATTACTGCCTTTATGTCTGTGTGTGATTACTGCCTTTATGTCTGTGTGTGATTACTGCCTTTCTGTCTGTGTGTAATTACTGCCTTTCTGTCTGTGTGTGATTACTGCCTTTATGTCTGTGTGTGATTACTGCCTTTATGTCTGTGTGTGATTACTGCCTTTATGTCTGTGTGTGATTACTGCCTTTATGTCTGTGTGTGATTACTGCCTTTATGTCTGTGTGTGATTACTGCCTTTATGTCTGTGTGTGATTACTGCCTTTATGTCTGTGTGTGATTACTGCCTTTATGTCTGTGTGTGATTACTGCCTTTATGTCTGTGTGTGATTACTGCCTTTCTGTCTGTGTGTGATTACTGCCTTTGTGTCTGTGTGTGATTACTGCCTTTATGTCTGTGTGTGATTACAGCCTCTCTGTCTGTGTGTGATTACTGCCTTTATGTCTGTGTGTGATTACTGCCTTTCTGTCTGTGTGTGATTACTGCCTTTATGTCTGTGTGTGATTACTGCCTTTATGTCTGTGTGTGATTACTGCCTTTATGTCTGTGTGTGATTACTGCCTTTATGTCTGTGTGTGATTACTGCCTTTCTGTCTGTGTGTGATTACTGCCTTTATGTCTGTGTGTGATTACTGCCTTTATGTCTGTGTGTGATTACTGCCTTTATGTCTGTGTGTGATTACTGCCTTTATGTCTGTGTGTGATTACTGCCTTTCTGTCTGTGTGTGATTACTGCTTTTATGTCTGTGTGTGATTACTGCCTTTATGTCTGTGTGTGATTACAGCCTCTCTGTCTGTGTGTGATTACAGCCTCTCTGTCTGTGTGTGATTACTGCCTTTATGTCTCTGTGTGATTACTGCCTTTCTGTCTGTGTGTGATTACTGCCTTTCTGTCTGTGTGTGATTACTGCCTTTCTGTCTGTGTGTGATTACTACCTTTCTGTCTGTGTGTGATTACAGCCTCTCTGTCTGTGTGTGATTACTGCCTTTCTGTCTGTGTGTGATTACAGCCTCTCTGTCTGTGTGTGATTACTGCCTTTATGTCTGTGTGTGATTACTGCCTTTATGTCTGTGTGTGATTACTGCCTTTCTGTCTGTGTGTGATTACTGCCTTTCTGTCTGTGTGTGATTACTGCCTTTCTGTCTGTGTGTGATTACTACCTTTCTGTCTGTGTGTGATTACAGCCTCTCTGTCTGTGTGTGATTACTGCCTTTCTGTCTGTGTGTGATTACAGCCTCTCTGTCTATGTGTGATTACTGCCTTTATGTCTGTGTGTGATTACTGCCTTTATGTCTGTGTGTGATTACTGCCTTTCTGTCTGTATGTGATTACTGCCTTTCTGTCTGTGTGTGATTACTACCTTTCTGTCTGTGTGTGATTACTACCTTTCTGTCTGTGAGTGATTACTACCTTTCTGTCTGTGTGTGATTACTGCCTTTCTGTCTGTGTGTGATTACTGCCTTTATGTCTGTGAGTGATTACTACCTTTATGTCTGTGTGTGATTACTGCCTTTATGTCTGTGTGTGATTACTACCTTTCTGTCTGTGTGTGATTACTACCTTTCTGTCTGTGTGTGATTATTACCTTTCTGTCTGTGTGTTATTACTACCTTTCTCTCTGTGTGTGATTACTGCCTTTGCTGCTGGTATTACCACTACTATTTCCACAAATATATTGTATTTATTTGTCATTTAGTACATAAAAATAATAATATTGCACACTTAAACAAGGCTCAAACACACACACACCACCCCCCCCCCCCCTTTTGGGCCTCGGCCCTATAAAAAAAGAGAAGAGGATGTGCCCAGCAGCCCAAGATTTCTTAATGGCGGCACGCCTGCCGAATTCTGGGTTAATGCGAAAAATTCCCTTTCTTGTCAATTTTGAATCCCAGAGGAAAAAAATATTAGGTATTTGCGAGGATGTTCTAATTCAAGAACCATAACAGTAATCTAAAAGTAATGTACGCATTTTCCAAACATTGTGACCCACTGGGTACGTAGAGATAGTTCAGTATTATTAAAGACCACTGTTTACATACTATTTTATTGTAAACCAAAATTAATGCGCAAAAAGGTAAGGTAAAGGTGATAGGGGTTGACTTTATTGCATCGGGTTTTATCCTAGATGGCTTTCTCCTCAAAAAGCTAGCTGCCCTATGAGAGCGTCGCACATAGCACGAACTCTGTAGTTCATATAACAATCCCCAGGGATCTCTGTAAAAATTGCACTCGTGAACTGAACGGCGCCAACAAACCCTGTATCTTCAGAGGGCGAGGCTAACGGTTTGACCACTTTACCACAGAGATCCCCTGTGAGCAAAAAAAGTCCTACCCTGTCTGGATTTGAGGTTAACTTTGTAACCTTTGTAGGTCGTAGTATAACCTTACGGTTGAACGAGGTTTCTGGAATGTGTATCTGAGAAAATATCATCCGAATATTGCACTTTGCATCAGCGGGTGTTAATCATTTAGTGCATGATCCTAGTGGGGTTCACCATGACCTGGGCACTCACTCAGTGGGTGATGTAATCAATCTCATGCAGGTCGCCTTTACTTCCCATGACATTACCGGTACCCATTTTGCTCTGGGTAGCCAAAGTCAATTCTTAAAAAGAAGAAAATCCTGCCTCGGTGAGAATTCGAAACTAACGCTATCGAGCTAGGATCATTTTCAGGTCGTCTTTTATTTTTATTGGTAATTGTTTTGTTAATGCCATTCTGGTCTCAAGACTCAGTGAAGGGAACCCCCCCCCCCCCCTCCCCAACTGCACATCCACGCGGTAGAGTACGGTAAACACACTGAGGTGTGGCCAACGCAGCTATGGGGACTGAGTATCCGCCGGCATAAGTGGACATCTTTTGTCGGAAACTGAAATATTTTGGTCATATCAAGCGCCACGACGGATTGGAAAAAATATAGCAGAAGGCATGGTACCAGGAAGGAGAGCAGGGGCCGACCGACGCGGAGAGGGGCACAGGATACAAGTGACTCCTTCAATATGAAAGTACATGAGGCGGGAGAATTAGCGAGAGACCGAGTTTCTTTCAGGCAGACTATGATGAGAGCGACGTTCTGCAAAGGACCTGCTACATGATGATGATGATGATGAATTGTTTTGTAAACTTTTCATCATTATTTTAATGTAGATAATTTTGAGAGCCCATATTATTTTCCAAAGCAAAACCAAAATTCAACTGCTCCACTGTCTCCTCGAAAAAGATTTGAACATATAATCCCAGATCAAAAAGAAACGAAATAGATAAAACCTGTATGCTGATCGGAAAATTGTCAGAATTAGGCTGAAAAACTTTGACAGTCAGAAAAGTTGATGAGAAAACAAAGAGATGAATGATTTATAATTTGACCATCTAGCGCAGGTGGGATACGAATTCTGATTTTATACATGATGATTGTGTGAAGCTGCCATCTTTAAACCTATGCATGTTGACACGACCCTTGACGAAGAGGACGGCAGGCCGACGGCAGGCCAAGAGTCGTAAACGCCTGGTTCTGTCCACCGCTTTCTCCAGAAATCTAACATAAAAAGCTAGAGCCTGGTCGTGGTTGTGCCATGCAGTGGGATTTAATTCAGGACAACTTGTTGGTAAGTAAGTGCAATAATCAATATTCAATCACGACACAGCGAAATCACGAGTGTTTCTGTCTCTACTCTCCCCCAGGATGTGCCGTCACAGCGCCTATCGGTCTCTGGGTGGTTGACGTTTGTAAGTTTACAGTATTTTGGTGTTATTGTGCGTCGCTTTAATAGAACAGTATTTATTATTGTTTACAATAATGATTATTTTCAACAACAAAATTTTCGGTTTCTTCTTCTTCTTTTCTTCTTCTTTTTTTTTTCTTCTTCTTCTTCTTCTTCTTCTTCTTCTTCTTCTTCTTCTTCGTCTTCTTTTTCTTCTTCTTCTTCTTCTTTTCTCCTCCTCTCCCGTTCCCTCGCTCTCTTTCTTGCTGCCATTTAAAGCTCATATAAACTGACTCCACAGAGTATCAATAATCGAATGAGAAAATGTAAAGTTAAATTGTCTATACAGAACTGATAACATGCATCAGATGTAGAGAGTCCCTATTCTTTCGGTAAATTACAGGAAGGAGAAAACTGAGGTAAGTTTTGACAACTGGAAAGTTGTAGTGCGAGAGAGGCAGTGAAGACCAAGAAGGAGGAAGTTGAAAACTTTATCATCAGGACTTGGAAGAATCAACGCCTCCTTTAGAATTTAAAGCTGAAGAAGGTCATAGGAAGAAAATCAGTAGAAGAAATTATTGGTAGTACACGAGACAGAAGGCTGTGGATATAAAGACATGATGACCAACACCACGGGAAATAGATTAAAACTTTCTAACCCATAAAGTCATTAGTTGATGCTCCAGTGAGTCAAATGTGAAGTCAACAAAATAACGTGCAAACAACATCCACACAGAGCCGTCTTAACAGCATTATTGGCCCCTGGGTAACCAATTTGCTGGGACCCCTACGACAAGACTCACAAGAATGACATTTGTATTAATGGCAAGTCATTTGTGCAAATGGTAAGTGCCCAGGAAGCCCATGCGCTAAGACGCCTCTGCATCCACAGGGCCCAAATACACATCCCTTGTGGGAGAGAAAGGTGTTGTTGACTGTTTAAGATGCCCCTAATGTGTGAGCATAACTGGTACAAATGAGTAAATCCAGTTGCATATAATGCGCTGTTTAAGACTTCAGGGGGTAAGAATGCAGCTTATAAAAGTACACACTACACCTTTATGAAATCATTATCTCAAACAACGCGTAAGCTATCAGATAATCTATACTTCAGTAAATCTGCTTTTGGTTATATTTAAAATCAACACCGGGCGCTAAAAGTAATCAAAGCATTTACTTGTATAATTTCCATCTCTGTGGTGTTATCAAGCGAGTCTATAAGGATTCGAGTACAGAAGCTTTAAGCCGAGTCAACACAAGATATCTTAACTACATGCAGATTGCCTGTTTGAAATACGGAAATGTTAACGGTTTCCCAAGCTTCCGTAAACACTCGGATATTGATTACCGTAGCATTTCGAAATTGCCTGCATTTTTTAATCTTAGCGCGACATGATTTTTCCTCACAAATGTAATAACGTATTGACCTGTTCTTTTTCTGGGTTCACCCTTAAAAAGCTTCCTATCACTACCTAAAATCTCTACCAATTTTGGAACACCCCTGAGATATTAGACTGTCCCGTGTCCTTTGACTTGGAAGGGGTGGGGGGGGGGGGGAATTAATAGACAAGAACCAAACCGCTGCGCCACTCGTATATTCACCTACCTCTCACCACTACTCTATCATATTTTCATCTACATCTTCCCTCGACCATCTCTTTCTTTAACTACCTCTCTACGCTACCTCATCATATAATAACCTAACTCTCTTCATTACCTCCTCATATATTCATCTACCTCTTTCTTCTACTGCCTTATATGTTCACCTACCTCTATTGACTTCTTCTTTTGTCGTCTCACGGTTACCAGGTTGTAGCCCAGTGTCGTGGTTTTCTAAATTTGTCTTGCGTTTCTCGGATGGCTTGAGTGCTGGATTTGTAATTTTTTTGGCAGGTTTCAGCTACACCATTTATCCATCTCTGTCTTGATCTTCCTCTCACCTTCCTCCCAGATGTTCTACTGTAAACAGAAGTCTCATATGCAGTCGGGCCTGGCTGCAATCTCACTAGATGGCTGAACCATTTCATTCTGTCTGTCAGTATAATCCAGACATGGTCCTATTCCAACTTTCTCTCTTAGGTTCTATCTCTCTATCAAGTCTGCCATCCTCGGTACATATTCTTCCTAGATATTTGAATTCTTGTACTTGTTTGATTGTAGTACCGTTTACAATAAACATTCATGACATTATGTTTCCTACCAATCCTCATTACCTAAGTTTTCGCACTGCTTTTTCTTATGTCATACTTTGTACAGGCTTCATTTAAAGAGTCAGTATGGTGTTGTAAACTCTGTTCTTGGTAGTGTATTTGAAATGGTCCTCTGCAAAAAGAAGTTCATCGATTTCTTCGGTTTTTGTATTTACCAACAGACCTGGTACGATTCCAGACTTAGCTGGGACAAAGACAAGTACAACAACATCACCGACATCTTTGACACAGAGCTGGTATTTTGGCGCCCAGAAATCATTGTCGACAATTCGTAAGTTGTGACCTAATACTTCAGACTTTAGACTTACTTTATTCTTTATACTTCAGACTCTTACCTACTTTATACTTAAGACTTACTTTATACTTCAGACTTTAGACTTTCTTTATTCTTTATACTTCAGACTCTTACCTACTTTATACTTAAGACTTACTTTATACTTCAGACTTTAGACTTACTTTATTCTTTATACTTCAGACTCTTACCTACTTTATACTTAAGACTTACTTTTTACTTCAGACTTTAGACTTACTTTATACTTCATACTTCAGACTTTATACCTACTTTATACTTCAGACTTTAGACTTACTTTATACTTTATAATTCAGACTTTAGACTTACTTTATACTTTATACTTCAGACTTTATACTTACTTTATACTTTATACTTCAGACTTGCCCGGCTCTCTAGCGTAGTTGGCTAAACCCGATTGCGCGGTGACCGGGTGACGAACTCCTTGTGGTCCGGGTTCACTCCCGGGGATAGGCAGAAAAGCCACATTTCTCCCAGACTTACGGTATTTACAATGGAATCAAGGCCGAAAGGTTGCGATATCCATAAAACCGAGCCTAAGGGTTAACAAACTCATGGCTTCTGGATATTTAAAAAAAAATAAAAATACTTCAAACATACTTATCGTCCACCATATTTTCCAAAGATAATTACAAAGTCGCCTCCTTGTGGGATGTAATTTTTTGTTAATTGAAACCCCACCCTGGCTTCTGCCAGGGGCACTGAATATAGCCGGGGCATAGATATGGCCTAGCCGTAGATATGGCTTAAAAGCTGAAAGGGGCTTCCGGGACCTCTCCACGGGTGATCCTCATCCGCAAGGTGGCACTTTGTGTCACCGGGTGTTTATCGCTTCAGTGATCTCCTGGTGGGGTACGTCTACCTGCCTACCTTTTCCAGCGAAGACCATTTAAGATCGTGTGAGAAATATAGAGATTAGAAAAACTATTTGAACAGTATTCATTGTATAATTTAATGAGAAACAGAGACTGAGTTTTGGGCATATAGGGCTGGACATATTTTTAAAACCCAAAAGGAACTCGGGGATGGGGGGGTAAAATTATGCCGGTCGTCTTATTTTCCAGCGCACTGTACCCACTAAAGGGGGGGCGCCCGGGGACCCCAAGGTCTTTTTGGAAAAAACCCGGGCTTTTTAGGACACGAACCCGGACTTTCCGACCCGCATGCGGCAATTCCCAGCTGCGCGTTTAAAAAAATTTACATCGACCTTTGTCCGAATTTTGTTTGTACCCAAAGGGTAGACAATCTTGGGATTCTAGAGAGCGACAAGCTGCTGATCCGGGCAACATCGAGGAAACATGACTGGAGCTCCGGGATCTTCGGCCCCACTGGACGGGATTCACGTTTTCCCTTCGAACCGCAAAAATGATCGTGGAGGTACACGGGGGCCCCCCGGGGTGGAGGAGATGATCTGTATGTTTTAAAAGGGAAAGGTTTTGTCAGGGGTTGCGTTGTGATAGAGGGGGTATGCAGGGTTGATCTGTATGCGACAGGGGGGTTTTTGTCAGAGTTGTCTGTTGCTGCCGTGAGGGGGTAGCGAGGAGTCTGTTGTACAGGGAGATGTCAGAGATATATTGTTCTGACAGTAAAGGGGGTATGTCGGTTTCTGTTGTCAGCGTGGGAGGATGCCCGGATTTTGTTGTTTGTAAGTGAGGGTAGTCGAGTTTGATCTGATGGTGACGTAGGGGGTATGTCGAGAGAGGCGTTTGCTGACTGGGGAGGTATGTCGGATATTGATCGTTGTGACGAAAGGGGTTGTCGGGTTGATTGTTGTGATAGTGGGGATGTCAGAGAGATCTGTATGTGACAGAAAGGGGGTAGTCGAGTTTGATCTGTAGCTGAAGAAAGGGGGTATTCAGAGATTATCTGTATGTGACAGTGGGAGGTAGCAGAGGTTTGATCTTTTTTGTGACAGTGGGAGGTATGTCAAGATAGTTATGGTAAAAGTAAGGGGTATGCAGAGGATGATCGTTTGNAACGGGGAATCAAAACCCGAAACTCGGAATTACGGAGGGCGTTTAAAAGGCCCAAACGACACAGATCCCGATTTCATTTTTAAAACTTTTTTTGGAAGTAACATTAATAAAAACAGGATCTGGTTTTAAATTTTCCCGGGGAATGGGTTTTTCACAAGGCGTAGACGGGCCAAAAAGCCTTTTGTTTAAAAATTTAAAAAGTCGGGGGTTGGCCCCTTTTCCAACCCTTTCGGGGCGTTTTGGGGCATATGGGGCCGGGAAACCATATTTTTATGGGCCCAAATGGAAACTCTTGGAAGGGGGTTCAACATTAGGGGCCGGTCGTTTTTACTTTTCCAGGACTGCACCTGAACCCCCCCGGGGGGGTCGCCGGGTACCCAAGGCTTTTTGGAAAAAGTCCGGCTCTGTTAGGACACGAACCCGCGACTTTCCGATCCGCATGCGAGCGAATTCCAGCTGCTGCGTTTACTGAACTTTTAAATCTTAAACCCTTTGGTCCTTGATTTTTTTCCTGATTTACCCCAAAGGGGTGACAATCGGGGAATTCTAGAGAGCGCCCAACGGGCTGATCCGGGCAACAAAACAAGGAAACCATGACTTGGGAGCCTCCGGGGGATTTTCAACCCACTTTTACTTGGATATCACGTTTTTTAACCCCCTTCGACACGCAAGAATGTATCGTGGGGTCACAAATGGGCGCACAGGGGTTGGAGGAGTTTGATTTTGTTCTGTTTATGTCAGAGAGATTGATCTGTATGCTGACAGTAAGGAGGTATGTCAGAGAGATTGATCTGTATGCTGATAGTAAGGAGGTATGTCAGAGAGATTGATCTGTATGCTGACAGTAAGGAGGTATGTCAGAGAGATTGATCTGTATGCTGACAGTGAGGAGGTATGTCAGAGAGATTGATCTGTATGCTGACAGTGAGGAGGTATGTCAGAGATATTGATCTGTTTGCTGACAGTGAGGAGGTATGTCAGAGATATTGATCTGTATGGTGACAGTAAGGAGGTATGTCAGAGAGATTGATCTGTTTGCTGACAGTGAGGAGGTATGTCAGAGATATTGATCTGTATGCTGACAGTAAGGAGGTATGTCAGAGAGATTGATCTGTATGCTGATAGTAAGGAGGTATGTCAGAGAGATTGATCTGTATGCTGACAGTAATATTGATGCTGACAGTAAGAGGTTGTCAGAGATATTGATCTGTATGCTGATAGTAAGGAGGTATGTCAGAGAGATTGATCTGTATGCTGACAGTAAGGAGGTATGTCAGAGATATTGATCTGTATGCTGACAGTAAGGAGGTATGTCAGAGAGATTGATCTGTATGCTGACAGTGAGGAGGTATGTCAGAGAGATTGATCTGTTTGCTGACAGTGAGGAGGTATGTCAGAGATATTGATCTGTATGGTGACAGTAAGGAGGTATGTCAGAGAGATTGATCTGTTTGCTGACAGTGAGGAGGTATGTCAGAGATATTGATCTGTATGCTGACAGTAAGGAGGTATGTCAGAGAGATTGATCTGTATGCTGATAGTAAGGAGGTATGTCAGAGAGATTGATCTGTATGCTGACAGTGAGGAGGTGTGTCAGAGAGATTGATCTGTATGCTGACAGTGAGGAAGTATGTCAGAGAGATTGATCTGTTTGCTGACAGTGAGGAGGTATGTCAGAGAGATTGATCTGTATGCTGACAGTGAGGAGGTATGTCAGAGAGATTAATCTGTTTGCTGACAGTGAGGAGGTATGTCAGAGAGATTGATCTGTATGCTGACAGTGAGGAGGTATGTCAGAGAGATTGATCTGTATGCTGACAGTGAGGAGGTATGTCAGAGAGATTGATCTGTATGCTGACAGTGAGGAGGTATGTCAGAGAGATTAATCTGTTTGCTGACAGTGAGGAGGTATGTCAGAGAGATTGATCTGTATGCTGACAGTGAGGAGGTATGTCAGAGAGATTGATCTGTATGCTGACAGTGAGGAGGTATGTCAGAGAGATTGATCTGTATGCTGACAGTGAGGAGGTATGTCAGAGAGATTAATCTGTTTGCTGACAGTGAGGAGGTATGTCAGAGAGATTGATCTGTATGCTGACAGTGAGGAGGTATGTCAGAGAGATTGATCTGTATGCTGACAGTGAGGAAGTATGTCAGAGAGATTGATCTGTTTGCTGACAGTGAGGAGGTGTGTCAGAGAGATTGATCTGTATGCTGACAGTGAGGAGGTATGTCAGAGAGATTGATCTGTTTGCTGACAGTGAGGAGGTATGTCAGAGTGATTGATCTGTATGCTGACAGTGAGGAGGTATGTCAGAGAGATTGATCTGTATGCTGACAGTGAGGAGGTATGTCAGAGAGATTGATCTGTATGCTGACAGTAAGGATGTATGTCAGAGAGATTAATCTGTATGCTGACAGTGAGGAAGTATGTCAGAGAGATTGATCTGTATGCTGACAGTGAGGAGGTATGTCAGAGAGATTGATCTGTATGCTGACAGTGAGGATGTATGTCAGAGTGATTGATCTGTATGCTGACAGTGAGGAAGTATGTCAGAGTGATTGATCTGTATGCTGACAGTGAGGAGGTATGTCAGAGAGATTGATCTGTATGCTGACAGTGAGGAGGTATGTCAGAGAGATTGATCTGTATGCTGACAGTGAGGAGGTATGTCAGAGAGATTGATCTGTATGCTGACAGTGAGGAGGTATGTCAGAGAGATTGATCTGTATGCTGACAGTGAGGAGGTATGTCAGAGAGATTGATCTGTATGCTGACAGTGAGGAGGTATGTCAGAGAGATTGATCTGTATGCTGACAGTTGTCACATATCACTCCTGTCACGTGCCTGATTTAAGGATCTCTCCTTAAGAACCAACAGCACTCAGAAATAATTATGTTAAGTCGTTTGGCTCGTATTGGTCTAAGATATGCCCCATGGCCAATATACGCTCAACTTATTTCTGGAGTAGGGCAACTCAAGTTTTGGCACTACAAAATATATCTGTATAAGAATACAATATTCCTAGGCACACTTGGCTGGATACCCCTACTACTATTAAAAGAAAGCCCCCAAGTTATGATAGTTCATTATCATAACCATGTTAACACATATAATATTTATGATTCATACACACGCAAATGCTAAACACTTAGAAAGGTGAAATAGAGACACCTAAGTCAGCAATGAAAATGAATGCATGTAATCAATACAACATATACATATATATATATATATATATATATATATATATATAATATATATATATATATATATATATATATATATATATATATATATATAATAGTGAAGTAGATGCCAGATCTCAGTGGATTGATCCCAGAATACAATGACCAGACTCAACAGAAAACCAAACAGTCAGAAAGTCCTGGAGGTAGCACATCTTCATCCTCGGAATCCAGTGGAGCTGTGGGGAATATAGCATGATCGAGACATAAACTGGACTTATCCTAGTTCCACTGTTGATGCTTCCCTCAGCTCCTGGTGATTCGACTGTCTTTGACCCTGGTAATTCTGCTTCAACTGGATCAGGTAGTGGAAGAGTACCTCCCCATAGAGGACACAGCAACTGTACCTGTACTCAGCAAGTCTCTCCCACCAGTCAGGTCACAACACTGTCTCTGAGCTACACCAAGCTCTTGCACTGTTAGGCTGTTTGGGGTATATGGCATCATCACTAGCTGGTGGGTAGTTGGTTGATTGATAGTTGGTGGGTGTTGGTTGGACTGTGATTTTTCTGCCAGCTCTTCACATAGGTTTCATCCCAAGCATAAGAAAAGTCCTAGACATTTCAGGCCGCCTTCTTAATTGGCAATTTACGGAGGCGTCGATGGATACAACTGATCTCCAGGAAAGCCGACAGAAATAATGCCGCAAAAATGCAAGTCAGGCGTCGGTAAGAAGAAGTTCCTTGAATACATGAGCAAGAGGTAAACCGGTTTCTAAGAATATACAATTAACTCCAGCATTATTTATCATATGGTTGCAAATTTGAAAATGACGCTAAGTCAAAGAAACTAGAAGATGTAGATATTATAATTTTCTCCGATAAAGGCATATATCGATATAAGGGACTATATACCTTCCCGGACGAGTCCAAGTTTGAAAGTTTTGTCGAGCACAGGTAATACAGGTCCCGACTCTTTTAGGGGTGATGTGTAATGGCTTGTCATTCCTTGACAACAGTAAGGAGGTATGTCAGAGAGATTGATCTGTATGCTGACAGTGAGGAGGTATGTCAGAGAGATTGATATGTATGCTGACAGTGAGGAGGTATGTCAGAGTGATTGATCTGTATGCTGACAGTGAGGAGGTATGTCAGAGAGATTGATCTGTATGCTGACAGTGAGGAGGTATGTCAGAGTGATTGATCTGTATGCTGACAGTGAGGAGGTATGTCAGAGAGATTGATCTGTATGCTGACAGTGAGGAGGTATGTCAGAGTGATTGATCTGTATGCTGACAGTGAGGAGGTATGTCAGAGAGATTAATCTGTTTGCTGACAGTGAGGAGGTATGTCAGAGTGATTGATCTGTATGCTGACAGTGAGGAGGTATGTCAGAGAGATTAATCTGTTTGCTGACAGTGAGGAGGTATGTCAGAGAGATTAATCTGTTTGCTGACAGTGAGGAGGTATGTCAGAGATATTAATCTGTTTGCTGACAGTGAGGAGGTATGTCAGAGAGATTAATCTGTTTGCTGACAGTAAGGAGGTATGTCAGAGAGATTGATCTGTTTGCTGACAGTAAGGAGGTATGTCAGAGAGATTAATCTGTTTGCTGACAGTGAGGAGGTGTGTCAGATATTGTGTTTTTGTGTGCCTTAGTGTGTATTTTATTCTTGGTTTCAGCTATCTGTGGCATGTATGCCAAGCGGGATCAAAACCATACACACCCACAACATATACACACACGCACGCTCGCACATACACACACATACCCGCAAATGCACAAATAGCAAACACATCTGATCATGCCAAAGCGTCTATGTAACGAACATGTCTACTAGATACATTACTGTTTAAATTCATAAACTGTTTAGGTTACAACTAATCACTGGCATCATGAGCCCCCTTCCCCCCCCCCCCCAAAAAAAAAATATAACTGCGAATGCTGAGATAAGACCAGCTGCCGGTAAAAAGAGTTAAATGGGAGTAACCCACGAAGCAGACCAAGAAGACGTCAGGAAGATAATATACAGGCAGACCTACAAACACTCGGGAGTCACCATCTTTGGAAGAGAAGGACATTCACAGACGTCAGTGGAGTCGGGTGATAATTGTAACAATGAACCTCAACGACTTGAAATGGTGAGGAAGAAGAAGTTCAAGAAGAAGACATCACTGGTTAGTGTTATTGTGCTATACGCAATTCACATATCAGCACACAAACAAAGGTTTACATATGAGGTGTTAAAATGTCGGAAGACTGACAGAATGTTATCCTACACCACTTTAAATACTCCCATAGGTGTGGAGGCAACCTTCATTCAGTTTCTGTCCTATCTTACGCTGGGTCTTGCTTAAATCCACTGTAATTAAAAAATAAAAAAAGAATTAGAATCCGAATCGACGGAGAATCGAACTAACGACCGTCAAGTCGGGAAGTAAGTATCTAGATACTGCGCTACTGCAGTTCCATATTACACAGTGTGATGACATGAAACTGTCTGGGTCCTTAGATTGACCTGGCGGAGTTTGAGGTCAATGGAGAATGGGACGTGATGAGTTCATGGACTCACCGGAAAATGTTGCATGATGGGGTGGATTACCACACCGAGGTAAGTAGAAACGTTTACTTTCTGACTGCACTCTTCCCCTATCCCCGCAGCTACCAATTCTGTACCATTAACACCCCCGCCCCCCCCCCCCCTTTTTTTTTTTTTTTTTTTTGCAGCTACCAATTCTGTATTATTAACTAATCTATATCTATCTATCTATTTCGCTATATACAAAATGCAGGAAACATGTATGTTATTTACCCTCTGATATAAAGGTATTCAGGCTTTCAAAAATGTCCGTGCAATGCTCACATGGTTAATCTTAGCCTTCCGTGGTGACATGTAAAGTGTAACAAGAGACAGTGGGTAAAAGTGAAGGACCCTTTTCCAAGCTTTCATGGGTTTTGGGTATATAAGGCTAGATCAACATTTTATAGACCAATGGGTGATGTAGTCAGCATCACGCCAGCCGCCTTTATTTCCAAGGACTGTACGAGGTACCAACTCAAGGTTGGGTCGACCTGGGAGCCAAGTTCCTTTTTGAAGTAAAAAAAAAAGGCTCGGCTTCGTCAGGATCCGAACCCACGAACTTCCGATCCGCAGGCGAATGTCTAGCCGCTACTCCATGGCGGCTCCCCAAGGGACAATGAGACCTGTGTATTCAAGTTGAAAGGGTGTTAACTGACGTAGCGCATCTGAGGAAACACAGCGAAAAATGGCAAGCAGTAAATTGTTCAATGTATGTTTGTGTCCCCATTTAAATTTAAAAAAAAAAAATACATATATATTGTCAAAAAACAACAACAATAAAGAGACGCATAGCTACTGAAAGGAACATACTAACAATTTTGACATTATGCTCTAGGGTTCCACCAATCAGTTCTCACTTTTTTTTTCTATCTGGGTCACGACAATTTTTAGACGCAGAACTTTCCCGTTAGTATGGTGTGTGCCCTCCTCTTGCTTGGATCAGTAATTGTCATCTCCCAGGCATGGATGCGATCAGATATCTTATTTGGGCTTGTGGGATGGCTGCCCACTCTTCTTGGAGTGCCTGGAACAGATCACGCCCATCGGCTGGAGCAACAACTCAGCGACAAACACATCTTTGCAGCTCATCTAACAGGTGCCCAATCAGACACATATCTGCAGGCAGGGATAGCCAGGGAAGGGTTTGAGTATTTATTGTATGCCAGGAACTGCGTGGTCATCCGTGCAGAATAGGGTCTGGCTTTATCCTGTTAAAAAATGGTAGGACATGTGGTCGAAGAATTTAACTGACGTATCGTTGAAAATTCAAGCTTCCTTCAGTGTGCACTAATTTACACGTTCTGTTGTAACTGATCACTCCCCACACCATTACACTTCCACTACCGTGCAGCAGAGCTTCATCAACACAGTTTTGGGCTAAACTTTTATTTCACTCACGGTAGACCCTACATTCTATCATGACGTTGAAAGAAAAAGAAAGATTCTTCACTGAACCAGGCACGTCTCAACTGATTGTCACCTGCCCAAGGACGATGCTGGCTGGCCCAATGAAGTTGATTTTAGTGGTGGGGGCGCGTAAGGACAGGTCCATAGTTTGGTTGTAGTGCCCAAAGTCCAACGTTATGTAGTCTGTTTCGAACAGTTTCATCAGGCACATGAGGTCCTGAAAGCAATGCCTGTGCAGTTGAGGAAGTTGTAAACCTGTCTCTGAGGTGACGAAGCCAAATAAAGTGATTCTCCCATGCTGTAGTCACTCTGGGTCGTCCATGGCGATGTTGGTCTTCAACTAAACCAGTAGCTTGGAACCGGTGCCAAAGTCGACTGATGGTACTCTGATGCCTGTTTAGATGCCTGGCACCCTGGCTTTGACTTTCTCCTGCCTGCAATCAGCCAATAGCAATATTCCTACCAAAATATCGATAGAGGCACAATTCGAGACTGCTTGAAAATGAACTGAATGTTTTTGGCGCAGCGCTTTCCTTTTATTGGGTTCCAATTGCATAGACAGGGAATAATGTTCGCCCCAAACTGTGCTATGTTCTTGTACGCGCATCATATGCTATGCTCACATATATGGTCTTAAGCACAATTGACCACTGCGTTGTAACGATTATTAAAAACCCACGCAGTTCACGCCCACATGTCCACTGGACACGGTAAACAACATGTAAGTCTGCTTTTCACATACCGGAGTACGATATTTTATTTACTAACTAATGAAAACACACCATCAGATAGCTGTGTTCACAGTTAGATTACCAGAAATGACTTACATAAATTCTATGAAGTTGTAGACCTCAAATCTGCCAACTTATATAAAAACCTAACTACTGAAGGCAAATTATGTGCCACAGTCAATATGGGGCTTTTTGAAATGGCCTTAGGCAGAAACTTTTTTCCACTGCTGCCATTTGGCAGAATTTGTCTGATGTTCTTCTTCTTCTTGTTCACCGGCTGTGAATTCCGGCGGTAAGTCACGGTTGTTCGTCCAAAATGGACTTTTGGCTTTTACCTTGACCTGAGTTTTGCGTGTACATCCGTTTTACTGGCTTATTTGTTTGCAGTACTCGTTCCCCGCCTCTCCGGCAGATGTACTCCGACTTCGGAGGAAGACGTCAAGCCTGTTTCTAGGTTGACTGTGGCCATTGTTTTGTGTGGGTCGAGATGTTGCCTTATTTGTGTGGTGTCCTCTTTGACTTTTAACAAGTGTGGCCCCCGGCATGTCGTCCTTAAGGCAGCTCTATGTAGAGTTTTCAGCCCTCAAGGGAAGGCAGGGGCAGATCATGGGCATTCCCGGCCATCCAAGGAGGCTTCCATAAATGCAGAGCCGACACATGATGCTCTGGTTCTGGGCTCACCCAAGGAATCGTCACGTCCTGCCCATGACTGCTTAACCTCACAACCGTGTATTGAGCTTCCCGCGCCACAAGGCTGCGCTCACCGGAGAACAGCGGAGGGCAGCCTGCAGGTCTAGGACGTTTGTGGCCACACAAATAGGTACATTCTTTTTCATCTTACGTTAGACACCTTTAACGTTGTTTCAGCTGTGCCCTTAGCACGACATAATGGGGAAGCAAAATGCTTCAGGCGTGGCTTCTCCTGTTTGGTCCAACACTCGGGCGAGTTGGACCAGTGGATACGGACATTCAGACTTTTCCTAATCGGTACGAGTTATGATCGTCGGACTTTGAGCTTGCATGTGTGCCATGGGGTGTAACTTTGTCGGACATTGTTTTCAAGCCAGCATATGAATAGTTGCTGCCATGGTGTACCTCAGCGCGGTGACGGCGACACTGAGGATTGACAGAGGATGTACGTAGGTGGGATCTTGCTGCGAGAAGTCGCCCACAAGAGATGTTACTCGTCTTGGCTGCGGGTAAATCTCTCGGTCAGGATTGAGTCTCAGCAGCACAGTTTTCCATTCGCTCCCAAATTTTAACCAAGAGTTGTCATTTGATGGTACATTTAGCAAGCAGTCCTTGAGTTTTGTTACTTTTCACCCATGCGTTTGGGGGCGGGCTGGTGAGAGCCAGAAAGGACTCTACACCTCTAGGGGCCGCCAGCTCCGAGATCCCCTGCCAACTCTGTTAATGCTCATTGGAGACATTATCCGTGGCGTACGACGGGGACGTGCAACAGGAGTCTTGCATGAGGTTCCGTAAAACCAGAACAGTGAAGGACTGGCGCCCGAGTGGGGTACGGAATATCTCCTTATACACATCACGTCAGACTTAACTTCCCTTCATGCCTGTGACCGAAATCACCGCGCCACTGTCTGATGTGTTTACCAACATGTTGAAAACTGTGCAATGGAGAAAAACTAATTAAATACAAAACTAGTCTAGTATGATCAACGAAAGGAGAAACACAGAGAAGAAAAGACCAAAATCTTTACCGAAGAACAAAACACCAATATGTAAACGATACAAAACTGTCGATTTCGTTACTGTTATAAAAGTAAAGGTGAGAGGGTCGACTTCATTGCATCGGGTTTTATCTCATATGGCTCAGTCTCTCTCGGCAGAACAGCTAGCGGCCTGTTATAAAAGTAAATTAAAGACTTTTTTACGCAGGTGACGCATCGGGCATATGATGCTCGGCACATGTGGTGTTGACAACATCAAACTGGGAGCAAGGTCAATTTTTAAAGAACCAAAAAATCCGACTCAATGGGGATTTTAACCCAAAACCCTCGGACCGGCAGGAAAAGTATCTAGCCGCTACACCATCGAGGCTCCTTAATATGGAACAACTTTTCTCTCTAGTTCTCCTGAAAATCCTACGGTTAAACCGCGTCCTTGACCCACAGGTGGCTTTCTCCATCAAACTACAGAGGAAACCGATGTACTACGTCACGACAATTCTGATCCCGGTGATTGTGACCTCCATCTTGTGTATCGTGGTGTTCCTGCTCCCCGCGGAGTCTGGCGAGAAAGTTGGCTACTCTCTAACCATCCTGCTGACATACACTGTCATGCTGACGTTGGTGGCCAGTTACATGCCTCCGACCAGCAAGCATACATCAGTGCTGGGTGAGTACCGTTTTTCCCCCAATATAAGAGCGGGTCTTATATGAATTTTGCTTCAAAAATGCACTAAAGCAGTGTTTCCCAAACTATTCTTAGTCGCGGCGCCTTTTTTCAATTTACATTTTTCTACTGCGCCCTAACCTAACTAAAAGTATGATTATTCGTATGTAAGGGATAAACAAATAATAAAATTCGTGTATCTTCAAATATTTCGCGATGCCCCTGTGAAGAGGTCACTGCTCCCCGGGGGGCCGCGGCGAACAGTCTGGGAATCACTGCACTAGGGCTTACCTTTGGAAATGTATTTTTCTTTCAGATATAAAATCTACAATAATTCCTGTACAAAATTCTACGTTTATTCAAATATAGTCATGCCATCTTTTTCAGGAACACTGTCACAACTTTTCAAGTTCGGAATTCCGGCCTGAATTTCATGCGACATCATATCATATAGAACCTTTGCCAGAGTCTCTCGTGTCCAGCAATAATTCCAACTGACGATCTTAACAAGAGCTTACTTCTGGGATCATTATCATCACGTATCAGGTCCTTTGCAGAACGTCGCTCTCCTCGCGGTCTGCCTGAAAGAGACTGTCTCTCACCAGCCCTCCCGCCTCATGTACTTTTATACTCAAGGAGTCACTTATATCCTGTGCCTATCTTCGTGTCGGTCGGTCCCTGCCCCTCTTTCCTGGTACCATGCCTTCTGCTATAATTTTGTCCAATCCGTCATGGCGCTTGATATGATCAAAATATTTCAGCTTCCGAGTCAGGATGCTGTTTATTAGCCAACCTTCCTTGATGTTCAGATCTTTCAAGATGTCAGTATTTCTCTTCTTCTTTGTCCAAGATATTCTGAGAATCTTTCTATGGCATTTCACCTTAAAAGCCTCTATTCTCTTTCTTAAAGACTAGGAGATAGTCCACGATTCACATCCGTATGTTGCTACAAAGAAGATTAATGATCTCAGAATTCTAATTTTGATCTCCTTGCTGGTGCTTAACCACTTTTAAGTTCTGGGACTGGCATATATTAAAGGCATTCAGAAATCGTGCTAGGGCTTGTTGGTGGGAGGGGGGTGGGTTTTCGGGGACACTGAGTATTATTGTGGTTATTCTTCCTCTGTTGTCCATATCTGATATGTGCCGCTAGGCATCACAGTCTAAGAGATGATAGGGCAGTAGTGGGTCGTCCACCCCCCCCCCCCCCACTCCACCCCTCTCCTAAAACCTACCTAGGATATCAAACATTTAATTGACTTTCTTGGCACCAGATTAAATTATTTTGTGGCCCAGACTTTCTACACCCCTACTCTAAAGCAGCCCAGCATCTCTGCATAAAGCACGAATCCTGTAATTCCAGTGACATCCCCTAATAATCTTCGAAAATAATGCACACACGAGCTCAATTGTGCAGTCATAAAACACACATATAACCCTACCCCTTCCCTTCCCCCCCCCCCCCCCCCCTTCCCCATAATGAATCTTTATAGCAGGGTTACATCTCTTAATACAGCGGTTCTCAACCTATGGGTCGTGACCCTTTTTTGGGTCAAACGACCCTTTCACAGGGATCGCCAAAGAACACCGCAATATTCATTGAAGTTATGAAGTAACGACGAAAAATATTGTATGGTTGGGGGTCGCTAAAACATGAGGAACTGTATTAAAGGGTCGCCACAATATGAGGAACTGTACTAAAGAGTCGCGGCATTAGGAAGGTTGAGAACCAACATTACGTCACTTGTCTCTGTTTTGTTTTTGATCCGTTTTCTTTTTATTCTTAGCCTCTCTGGAGTCCTGGTGTTTACTTACTTGTTCATTTTCTGGATGTCTGCGCGATGTAGAATTGTGAATTATCCTTCTTCTTCTTTTTTTTTTCTTCTTCTTCTTATTCTTTTTCTTCGTCGTCTACTTCTTTTGCTACCTTTCTAACCCACAGTAGAGCATAGACCCTCAACCAACGCACAGCATATCGTTCTATCCTTCGCCATATTTTTTTTAGATGGTAAAATCCATTCTGTCCCTTTTTGGAATTTTTTTTTTATTTGAAGCCCCACCCTGGCTTTTCAGGGGCCGCAATATAGGTAGGCCATAAATATGGCCAATTGTCTGAACGCGGTTTCTAGGACCTCTCCACGGCGATTCTCATCCACATGGTGGCACTTTGTGTCATCGGGTGTTTATCGCTTGTGTGATGTCCTATTGGGGTAAAAAGTCAGTCAGTCAGTCAGTCATCCTTCACCATTACATGCAGCTCTCCTCATATCCTCCCCATCTTTTTAAATTCATTCTCTAGCTTCCTTCTTCATGTGTGTGTGTGTGTGTGTGTGTGTGTGTGTGTTGGTCTTCCATTATTCCTACGCTCTTGTGGGTTCCAGTGCAAAGACATTCTAGTTATACTGTTCTCAGGTTTTTTAACTTGTGTCCTATCCAAAGCCAACGTCTTTTCTTCACCTCTTGGTCCACTGGTACTTACATTATGTTTACAATTTTAAAATTCTAATGTTTATATATTATTTACCTGTCTTAAAATTTATATTTTGTTTATGCAGTCGAGCACACTGTTGGCCATTCTCGTTTTCTACTATAATATTTTTGCATGTTCGGAAAGGGAGGAGTAGGAGGAGAAAAGTAGTAGTGTTAGTGGTGGTGGTTGTGGTGGTGGTAGCAGCAGCGGTAGAGTAGTAATCAGGGAATCATATGTCCCGTTTTCAGCGGGTTAGTCCTGCTCTAGGTGTGTCTCGGCCGCCCCGTTGGTAATTCACACACACACAAAAAGTCAATTGTCCCGTTTAAAAAAAAAATCTAGGAGTTGGCTCGAAAGTAGAACATACACTTACTGTTATGTCTGTAGACCATATTTTATTTCATAGTTTTAAATACTTTTAAAGATACTTTTAATTCCTGAAATGTATGTATGGAAATTTTCATTGTGGCATTTTTCTTTCAGTGCCATTACAAGGCATATTGTTTTGTTTATTTTTTAGCAACAATGGTTAGGGTTTTAATACCATTCTTTCCTTTCACCCGGGTTACCTAAAACAAAACCCTCAAAATGGGTGTGGTGGAAATGATTTGCTTGAGGTGTCCGTTTTCAGCTCACACTATTAATGGGATGTCCCGCTTTCAGATTAGGATATTTTGGTCACCCTATAGCAATAGTAAAAGTTGTAGTAATACAAGTAGTAGTAGTAGTAGTAGTAGTAGTAGTAGTAGTAGTAGTAGTAGTAGTAGTAGTAGTAGTAGTAGTAGTAGTAGCAGCAGCAGCAGCAGTAGTAGTAGTAATAGTTGTAGAAGTATAGTAGTAGCAGTGGTGGTAGCAGCAGCAGTAGTAGTAATAGTAGTAGTAATAGTATTAGTAGTAGTAGTAATAGTAGTAGTAGTAGTAGTAGTAGTAGTAGTAGTAGTAGTAGTAGTAGTAGCAGCAGCAGCAACAGTAGTAGTAGTAGTAGTAGTAGTAGTAGTAGTAGTAGTAGTAGTAGTAGTAGTAGTAGTAGTAGTAGTAGTAGTAGTGGTAGTAGTAGTAGTAGTAGTAGTAGTAGTAGTAGTAGTTACAGCAGAAGTTGCCTCTGCACACAGACACGCACTCTCTCACACACACAAACACTTACCAGTTTAATCTCATATCTGCTTCACACTGTCTCCCCCACAGGTGTGTACCTCACAATAATATTGTTTATTGGCGTGGTCACTACACTGGTCACCGTGGTGGTCCTTCACCTGCACCACCACCCAAACAACAAGGACGTCCCTGACTGGCTGCAGTTCCTGGCCCGGAACATCATGGTCCCGATCTCCAGTTGGCAACCTCTCAAGGCCAGTTCAACCAGCGATTTTTGCGATAATTATAACTACGCTACCCAACCCATGCACAACCTACTCAAAGTTCAGCCGGCTCCCAGAAGATTCACGAACAAAGTTTATGTCCGCTACCCGTCGGATGGAAGAATTCGAGACGCTTTTGTCGACTACGGGAATCAAAAAGTAGCAAGTAGGCACATCAATGGAGGGTTGAAAAGCGGAGAAATCAAAAACGACAACAGGAATCAGAGCCCAGAAAGCGATATAGATATGAAACAGTATCAGTTTACATGGCGGGAAGTGGGAGCGATCCTTGATGCCATGTGTCTTCGACTCCTTGGAGGATTTGTTGTTATCCTAACCATCATCGTCCTTTTAACCATGGTCATTGGAGGGTATGCCTTCAACTAATTCTATATACTTGTTTGTTATTTACCAGAGCGAATAAACGTATAGGTGACCTGGAAGCTTGTTAAGCGAACCACACAATTACTGAGAAGAATGTTTCGAAAAGTCACGGAAATACGGAAAGCAAAAATACTTAACTCGAAAAACAATAAACGTACATTTTCTTTTTCGCAATGCGAATTAGAATCTTTCCGTTTTTCGGTTAAATGATTATGCTTTCCGTTATGTGTTTACAGACAAAGATTGTCGTTGCAGAGTTTTTTTTTTTTTTACAAGATTATCGAGAGTCAAGGGCTGATCGTCACATTACGTTCAATCGCGGTTGACAGTTTAAGAGATGTCACCTCTATTTTCGATACTGCTAGCATTGTTTCCAGTAAATAAAATATAGGACTTATTTAGAGCAACGGTCGTATGATTCTAGACACATTTTATAGATCAATCGGCACTTCTTATGTGATGAAATCAACACCAGGCTTTATCTTACATGTCATTTCCTGATACCAGTTTCAGTCTGGAACGACTTGCTAACCCAATTTAAATTTAAAAATCCTCGCAACGTTTATTTTTCTATACTGCCCGGCTCGCTAGCGTAGTTGGTTGAACGTTACTTAGCGGCGACCTAGTGACGAACTCGTCGAGGTCCGGGTTTACGCCCGGAGGTAGGCAGAAAAACCACATTTCTCCTTTAAAGAATCTATCATGGAATCAAGTCCGAAGGGCTGCGATATCCGTAGTACCGAGCCAAAGGGTTAACAACTCATGGTTTCTGGATACTTAAAACAAATCTCAGTTTTTAATACTCTCGGCCATTTCTGTTTCTCCATGCAGTTATCGTCTCTGCCTGCCTCCGCTTCTTCTACCGTTTTCCAGTGGTCACCATGTCGTCCTTCAGTGCTTTTCTTCTCATCATTATCATTATGTGCCATGCCGATAAACATACGCAGTCATAGTTTGTCATCTCACAAGATCAACAGAATCACAGAGCAGGTCTGTGTCATTTTCCAGGCCACGTTTCATGATCAAACCATCTGTGTTTTTATCTCATTGTCATTCCTTTGTTCTTTCGCACTAAGTCACTTCGTTTTCATGTATAGTTTTCCATGATAGTTTGTACAAGATATTACAGCTGCCTCCCTTCCTCCCCCCTCACCCCCCCCCCCCCCCGAATGCCTCAAGAACAAGTTTATTTCCACTGCGTGGTTGTTCACATGTATTGATGTGAATGCGCACACTCACACACACACACATATGTGTATGCCTATCTTAATATGATATATAACATTTTTTTCAATTGTATACTATATTACATACCACTAATTATAATGTCAACGATATTGGTGACTCTGAATTAAAAATGTATATTATCGTTTCCAGTACCTAAGAATTTAGCAAATGTTTCTTGGTCATGCCAAAGATTGTATAATGGGAGCATAACAACTGACTGACGTTCAACCCCACCAGAACATCACACCCAGTAATAAACACTCGGTGACACAAAGGGCCACCATGCGAAAGAGGATCCCCAGGGGGCAGGTCCCAGAAACCCCGTTCAACCCACAGGTTGGGTTATTAGGGCCCCCTGCAACAGCCAGGGTGACGATTTAAAACGATCAAAAATTGCGTCAGATATTTTGGACAGAGTATTTGGTTGTTGAGCATAATTATTTACACAGGACTGCAGATTTCACTAGAAGGTATAGCCTTAACGGGTGCCAAAACTATGCTTTCTGGACGTTGAACCGGGTATCTGAGACTTGCCTTGGTGGTCTGACATCCAGAGTGAGATTGTATCATCTCAGATGTCAAATATTCAGTAAACAGCTCGGTAGGTGGGAGTTTGGGGGGGGGGGGGGAGGGTGGAATAAAAAGATACCATAATTTCCTTGTTTTCTGTCGCCGACAGGTGTTAAAACAATCCTTTGGGTCTGACTGGGTTCCTGACCCATTTTGGAAAGGGGAGCGGGGTACAGAAAGCCCAATATTCGCTAACAAACATGTCGTAAAAGGCGACTAATTATGTGTGTTTTCTTAGACGTTATAGAGCATTTACCTGAGAGGCGGGGAACCACCAATCCGCATACAAATAAGCCAGAATTTTAGAATGGATGTGCTCGCAAAAAAAATATAAGTTCTGGGACAATAATGTAGTCCAGAAGTGGACGAAAAATCATAACCTTCCTCTTGAGTTCACATATTGTGAACGCTAAGAAAAGGAGGCTGGGGAGAAGAAAGAAGAAGAAGAAGAAGAAGAAGAAGAAGAAGAAGAAGAAGAAGAAGAAGAAGAAGAAGAAGAAGAAGAAGAAGAAGAAGAAGAAGAAGAAGAAGAAGAAGAAGAAGAAGAAGAAGAAGAAGAAGAAGAAGAAGAAGAAGAAGAAGAAGAAGAAGAAGAAGAAGAAGAAGAAGAAGAAGAAGAAGAAGAAGAAGAAGAAGAAGAAGAAGAAGAAGAAGAAGAAGAAGAGAAGAAGAAGAAGAAGAAGAAGAAGAAGAAGAAGAAGAAGAAGAAGAAGAAGAAGAAGAAGAAGAAGAAGAAGAAGAAGAAGAAGAAGAAGAAGAAGAAGAAGAAGAAGAAGAAGAAGAAGAAGAAGAAGAAGAAGAAGAAGAAGAAGAAGAAGAAGAAGAAGAAGAAGAAGAAAAAGAAGAAGAAGAAGAAGAAGAAGAAGAAGAAGAAGAAGAAGAAGAAGAAGAGGAGGAGGAGGAAGAAGAAGGGGAAAAAGAAAAAAAAAAGAAAAAGAAGATTAATTTAACTTCTTCAATCCCATGGCGTCTGTATTGAACTTATTCAGACCAAAAAGTCTAATGCTTTTAAATTCAGCTCTTGGGGTAAAAGAGATTAGCGTTAAATGGTTTGGGGCTGAAAGTATGAAAACGATAATTTATATTTAATTATGGTTAGCAAAATCATCTGGGATATTTTCTACAGTCGCTGGTAACGATCTTGGAGCCAAACAGAACAGACGAGAAGCGGAACATACTCTTACCTGTGAACCTACAACTTTGCGTCTGATCCAGCCCTCTTCTTGCCAAGCAGCCAAAGTGTACCTAGAGTCTGCTTACAATCTGTGAATAATCTACTAAGACCACTTCTGTCAAGAATCTACTGACACGATATCTGTAAAGAAACTACTGAGACAACGTCTGTCAAGAATCTACTGCTGAGACAAAGTCTGTCAAGTAACTACTGAAACAAAGTCTGTCAAGAATCTACTGAGACAACGTCTTTCCTTTATCAACTGCTGAGACAAAGTCTGTCAAGAATCTACTGAAACGAAGTCTGTCAAGAATCTACTGCTGAGACAATGTCTGTCAGGAATCTAGTGAGACAACGTCTTTCTTTTATCAACTGCTGAGACAAAGTCTGTCAAGAATCTACTGCTGAGACAAAGTCTGTCAAGAATCTAGTGAGACAGTATCTGTTAAGAATCTCCCTGGAGAGAGTGTGTCAATAATCTGAGACAAAATCTTTAAAGAATCTACTGCGAAAAAGCTGTCAAGAATCTAGGTGAGACAGTTTGTCAAGTATCTTCTGAGACAACCTCTGTGAAAAATCTACGGAGACACAGATCTGTTGGGTATCTGCTGAGAAAACAGTTTGTCAAGAACCTACTGAAAAGATACATGTGAAACATCTTCAAAGACAGAAATCTGACAAACATCCACTAAGCCAAAATCTAATCATTTACTGAGATAAAGTATGTGTGTTGATTAATAAGTCAAATTCTGGGAAACATCTTCAAATACAAAAGTCTGAAAAACATACCCTGAGACAAAGGAATGAGCATTTACCTAGACAACTTCTGTGAATAATTTACCAAGACAAACTTTGTAAAGAATTTACTGGGTGGAGATGGTTGGCAGAACAGAATATGGAACATCTACTGAGATAAATTTCGTCAAGCATCTACCAAGACAAAGTCTCTTAAGCATCTAAATGTGACAAAGTTCCAAAAACATTTCTGAGAAAAAGTTACTACTGAGACAAATGTCTGCCAAGAATCTACTGAATTTAAAAAAAAAATGTATGTCAAGCATCTACTGAAATACTGCCCGTCATACATCTATTAAAATGTAGTCTGTCAAACATCTACTGAAACATTTGAGTTAAGTTGAGGTGAGTTTCAAGAACCAACATCACATCACTCGGGGCATTCCCATATGTGCTTGGCTCCCATCTTCAGCAGACAGCGAAGAGTCCCATTTCCAATAGTACCAGTAGCAATCTGTTTGTATGACTGTCTTGCCTTTCCTCTGAGTATGAAGTGTCAACAAGATCCTCTGGTCACACCCTGTTGTACCATTCTCTTCAGACCGTGGTAATCCAACTGTGCTGTTCACTGTTCACTCGCTCCCAAAGGTTCTTGACATCATTTAGCTTGTCATGCGTCAGTTCACCACCGAGTAGTGCAGAACCAGCTATTCTATCTGCCTGTTAGTTTTCCAATACACCTGCATTTCTTCTGTCAAGAATTTACTGAAACAAAGTCTGTCAAGCATGTATTAAGACAAAGTCGGCTTAAGCATTTTCTGAAACAAGGGTCTTTCAATGATATACTCAGAAATAAAGTCTGTAAGAAGTATGCTGAGGCAATAATTAGTCAAGTATCAATTTGGGACATATGAATAAATATGAGTAACTGCACTTGAGATGATATCATCATCGATCAACCATTCTTTTA